ATAATTTGTTATGATCCACACAGTCAAATGCCTTTGCATACTCAATAAAGCACAGGGAAACATCTGTATTTGCTTACAGCCAAGATTCATCTGACATCAGCAATGATATCCCTTGTTCCACATCCTCTTTGAATGTAGCCTGAATTTCTGTCAGTTTCCTGTCAATATACTACTGCAACCATTTATGAATCATCTTCAGAAAAGAAATTTACTTGCATGTGACATTAATAATATTGTTCAATAATTTCCACATTCTGTTGGATCACCTTTCTTTGGAATGGGCACAAATGTTGATCTCTTCCAGTCAATTGGCCAGGTAAATGTCCTCCAAATTTCTTAGCACTTGCAAGTTCAGGTTGAAGCTGAAGAAAATTCAAACAAGTTCACAAGAGCCAAAATACAACCTTGAAAATATCCCACCTGAATTTAGAGATTATATTAAGAATAGATGTGACCATTGAAAACCAATGATGGAAGACCAGACAAGTTGTGGGATGACATCAAGATCATCATACATGAAAAAAGCAAAAGGTCATTAAAAAGACAAGAAAGGAAGAAAAGACCAAGATGGATGTCAGCAAAGAGTCTGAAACTTGCTATAGCAAGTAGCTAAAGCAAATGGAAGAAATGTTGAAATTAAAGAGCAGAGCAGACAAAGTAAGTTATTATAATGAAATGTGCAAAGACCTAGAGTTAGAAAACTAAAATGGAAGAACATGCTTGGTATTTCTCAATCTGAAAGAACTGAAGAAAAAGTTCAAGCCTTGGATTGCACTATTAAATGATTCTGTGGGTAAAATATTGAATGATCCAGGAAGCATCAAAAGAAGAAGGACTACAGTGTACAAAAAAGAATTGATCTATGTTCAACTATTTCAGGAGGTAGCATATCATCAAGAACCAATGGTATTGAAGCTTCATTGAAGGAATTGGTAGAATACCTGTTGAGACATTTCAATAAATGGATGCAGCTCTGGAGGCTCTTACTCATTTTGTCAACATAGTGTTCCACAATATGGATGAATAAAATATTCATTTTTTACTCCCTTACAGACAGATACTTAGGCTACAATGAGTATCTCTATAACCTAACTTTGTGTCACATGTAACTATTTCTATAGGATGCATTCCTAAAATTGAAATTGCTATTTTGAGGACTAAGTAAGATATTGGCAAATTGCCTTCCACAGTGCTTTCACCAATTTATAGCTCACCAATGACGCATGGTAATTCTGTCCTCAGTCATCTATCTTTTTAGTTTTGACAAAACAAGCAGATAAAACCCTAATGTTATTTTATAGTTTCCTGATTACTACTGAGAATTAACATCTCTTTTATTATGACAACATATCAGCCATCTTTATATTGTTATCCATAAATTGCGTATTTCTATCACTCATTTTTCTGTGGGTTATATGTTTGATTGTGGGGTGTGTGTGTGTATAGAGAAAGAAAGAGAGAGAACTTTTTTACTAGTTATGTTGTTGTTGCTGTTGTTATGTGCTGTCGAGTCAGACCCGACTCATAGCGACCCCTCTTTGGGTTTCCGAGGCAGTATCACTACGGAAGTAGATTGCCCCATCTTCCTTCTGAGGAGTGGCTGGTGGATTTGAACCACCAGCCTTTTGGTTAGCAGTCAAGTGCCTTAGGCACTACACTACCAGAGCTTCTTTACTAGTTATAAGCATTGAAAATATCTTCTTTTAGTCTGTGGAGTTTTGTGTCACATAGAATACTACTTTCATTGTCCAATTTATGAAACTTTTGATTTACTGTTTATATTTCTTGTTCTGTTTAAGATAACTTTCTCTACTATGAAGTCATACAAATAACCTCCTATGCTTGCTTCTAAAATTTTTTAAGTGTTTCTTTTCATATTTAAATCCACAGGATATATATATATATATATATATATATATATATATATATATGACAGGGTGACATATTCCTAACAGGGTTGTAATTTTATTTCTCCTTATGAATAACCAAATATCTTAGCATCATTTACCAAAAAGTCTATCCTTTCCCTACTGATTCACAATAGTACTTTTGTCAAATACCAAGTTTTCACATATACACAAGAACATAACACCTGGGTTATATATTCTCTTTCATTGGCTGTTCTGTCTTTTCTTGTACCTAATACCAACTTGTATTATTTGCATAATAAGTCTTGATAGCTAGTCAGCTGTCCTCTTATGTTAGGCTTCTTTTTCGGGTTTGGCTATTCAGGGGCCTCTTCTTTCCCATGGATATTTTAGAATTAGCTTGTCAAATATCCCAGAAAGTTCTATTGGGATTTTGACTGAAATTGCATTAAATGTATAGATCAATTTGGGGAGAACTGATAATTTTTTGGTATTGAATCTCCCTATCTCGAATGTGTATCTTCTCTATTTCATTTGGTCTTCTTTACCTTTTTGTGAAGTCTTATTTTTTTTTCTCCATAAATACCTTACACATACTTCTGATACATTCTTAGTTACATTATTTTTATTGCCCTCATAAAAGTATCTCTTAAAAATTACGTATCTACCATTTGACGCCTGCTTTTAGCTTTATCCCTTTTTCAGCCACACGCTGCAGACATTGTTACTATTATTTCATACGGATCTCCTTTGCTGATCGACATATTTTCTAATTTCTTTCCTTCTCATTCTTTCTTACATCTCAGGACTGGCTTCTCAAGTCATTTCTTTCTTTCTGATTCACATTCTTTACCAGTGCCTTTAGTGAAAATCTATGGGTGGTAAATTATCTGTTATAATTTCTTTGAAAAATCCATTCTTTTTCTCCATTTTTTTTAGGTGGGGCGGGGGTGGAAGAGTTAGTTTTGCTAGGGAAAATAATGTTTTTTTCAGTTATTGTTCCATTGCTGTTGGCAACTGATTTGTTGTTCTTTGTAAGTGATTCCCCCCTCTGATGTTGTGCTTAGCTTGTGGAGAGCTTTTAGTGGCTGTGAATTCACATCTTTTAATAATTTTAATAATTTGCAGCCACTACACTTCATTGCATAGTCACTCCCACCATTCTCTCTATTCTCCCTTTCTGCAACCCTAATTAAATATATGTTAAATCTTCTCATTTATTTTCCATATGTTTACCTCCTGTCTGTGTATTCACAATGATTTTTCCAGTATCTCACTGGTATATGATTGGCTGTTTAACCTATACATCAAATTGATTTCAATTATTACATTTTTAAAGAGCTTTGGTGATATAGTGGCTAAGGAATTTTGGCTGCTAACCAAAAGCTTGGTGGTTCGAACCCACTAGCTGCCCTATGGAAGAAAGATGAGGCAATCTGCTTCCATAAAGATTTATAGCCTTGGAAACCCAATGGGGACACTATGAGTTGAAATCGACTCCATGGCAATGAATTCTTTGTTATTGTTGTGTTTTTAGTTTCTAGAATTTCAATTCTTTTTAAATTCCTTTTTCAAACCTGCCAGTTCATGTATGATTATATCTATTCCTTAAACATTTAAAAAATTTTATTTTCTTTCTTTAAACACATTTAAAGTATTTAATGTTCTGTATATAATACTGATTATCTATGATCCTTGGAGGCCTTTATCCTTAATTGTTTTTGCTATTTTTACTTTTGCTGGCTTATTTCCTCCTGTGTCTGCAATTTCTTTTCAATTCAACTTTCCCACCTTGTGGGGAGTCAAAATCTCTTGACCTCATGTTTGTTTACCAGTCACTAGTTAGGTTTTAATTCTTTAAAACAATTTTTCCCTTGGAGATTTTTCTTATTTTCCCATGTGCTTTGAAATCTCAGGAGCATGATTAACATCTCAGTGCATTAAAATGGAAAACTTGTGGGACTTCTCCTGGTTTCTTTTTCTTTTCTTTTTTTAGGGTATATCTTTAGCTGACTGTTTCAATTTATACAATAGTTACCAGTTTATTCAGGTTTTATACCTTTTATTGAGTCAATATTGGTAATTTATATCTTCCTAGGAATTCATTTCATCTAGGCACAACAAAAACGAAACCAAACTTGGCTGCCGTCAAGTTGCATACAGCAAATATTTGTGTCACTGATTGAATTGTGTCTCCCCAACACATGTGTTGGGAGTCCTAATCCCTATACCTATCCTTATAATCCCATTTGGGAATGCATTTTCTTTGCTATGTTAAATGAGGCAATATTAGTGTAGGGTGTGTCTTAAATTAATCTCTTTTGAGATATAAAAATTGCAGATTGAGCAAGTTGGCAACAAATGGGGCAAAGATGGGGAAGATAGATGCCATGCCACATGAGATGTCCAGAGAACCAGAAACTGCAGAGACAAAGACTTTCCCTCAGAGCCAACACAGAGAGAAAAAACTTTCTACTTGAGCCAGCGCCCTGAATTTGGACTTCTAGCATCCTACGTAGTGAGAAAATTAATTGCCATGTTAAAGCCACCCACATGTGCTACTGCTGTGACGATAGCAGTGCTAGATAACTAAGACTATTAAATCAATAATTCAAGTGCTAACGATTAATACTTCAGATCAATAGTTTTATACTATCTGAAAGAAACACGAAGCAGCCTGAGTGAACTGCAAGTATGTGGCACTTCAGAACCCAGTCCTGAGATTAGACAATGATTCCAGCACTGGTCCCTAACACCCAAGGAACAGAAGTTAGTCTGTGCACATCTGTTCAATTCCTGGTCTCTACAAGGGCAAAGCATTGCCCTGTGCAGTGTCTCTGATACTAAGCATTTATTTTTCCTGAAGAAACGACTTCTATGTCTTAGTAATTCATAGAAAAGACTTATGGGGCAGCTGTATGATGATATTGTCAGCTACACCTCAGCAATCCTCACTTCACACTGGGTTTAAGCTTGAGAATGTTAGAAATGAGACAGAGCCCAGGCTACACTATCACTCCTGAGAAAGCAGAGGAGCAATGTGGGCAATGGGATGTGTATTAACAGTAAAACATTTTAAATGCCTAAAAGTGCATTTTGGGTAAAGGTTAAAAAAGCCTAGGCTTTACTCACCATTTTAATAACTTCTGAATTTCTGCTGGGATCACTTCATAATATTTATGTAGATTATTTTTTAAAAAGAAAAAAGAAATAAGGTGAGTGAGGCGCTGTGGACTATTCAAAGAATTCTCTTTCCAAAAATAAGGATGGGTGTAAGTATTCTCAAATTGGATTTTTTTCAGATTCAGCTTCAAAATTCCAGGTGGGAAAGAAGTCAGATCATTCCCATCCACATTCAGTTTTTCAAGTGATCTGCATATAAAGGAAAACTATGTTTTAAAATACATCCATACAATTTATGACATTGAACTAAAATGCTGACCCAATGTTTTTGAACAATTGTATCAAATTTGGTAGCAATAAAATACAAATATATATTTAGATACTTCCTTAAAATTAAGAGATGTTTCTTATAAAGCAAGGTATACCTAATATACCTATACACAATTAGGTATATTTGTGTGAATAGTACATTTAAGTATGTGTTTTGGGTCTTTGAAACACATCTTATTACTATGGGAAAAGAAAAAATATCCATAATATCCAATATCCAACGCTGACAAATATCATGTTACATAAGGTATAAGACAGGTATATTGTTGTTCGTTGCTGTTCAGTCGATTCTGACTCATGGCAACCCTGTGTGTGCAAAGCAGAACTGCTCCATAGGGTTTTTAAGGCTGTGAGCTTTCAGAAGCAGATTGTCAGGTCTGTCTTCTGAGGTGCATCAGTGTGGGTTTGAACCACCAATCTTTCAGCTAGCAGTTGGGTGTTTAACTGTTTGGACCATCCAGGTAAACTAAAGCATGTGGTATCTAAGTAGGAGCCCTGGTGGTACAGTGGTTAAGTGCTTGGCTGCTAAATAAATAGTCATTGATTTGAAAATGTGCTATGTGATAGGTTGTGCTTTGGCTTTTCATCACTTGAGTTCCTTTGGCTTTTTGTATGTGTGTGTCAATAACTTTTATTTCTTTATTCAAAGAAAACTGACACTGCAAATTTTCCATTTGAATATAACTTTTCTCAATTTTTTTTTTTCCTTCAGTTACTTATCTCCTTTCTAAATAGTGCTGGAAGCATACAGAAAAGTATCTGCTCATGAGAGACATGTAAAAATCAAATCAAGGGCTGGTTCCACCTGACAAATGCATTTGCGGCAAAGAGGCTAACATATGGACTTTAGGTAAAGGGCATCTGGAATTCTCTAGATTTTCATGTACAGTCTACTTTCACATCTCTAACCCACATAGTTTAAGTTCTTTAATTATGACTCCTGCTGACAGTATGAAAACATGGTCAAAGGGTTATTTTAATACAATGAGATGAGAAAGATGGCATTCCAGGTATTTTCATCCTTCAACTTCAGTTTGACTAGTACATCTCTCATGGTCTCGAAAAGGTAAGCAACACCTCAAGCTCTGCTTGGACACTGAAGAAGAGAGCTGGTGTGGTCCTTTTCCCTCTGTACCACCAGGGCTCCTACTTAGATATCACATGCTTTAGTTTACCTGGATGGTCCAAACAGTTAAACACCCAACTGCTAGCTGAAAGGTTGGTGGTTCAAACCCACACTGATGCACCTCAGAAGACCGACCTGGCAATCTGCTTCTGAAAGCTCACAGCCTTAAAAACCCTATGGAGCAGTTCTGCTTTGCACACACAGGGTTGCCATGAGTCAGAATCGACTGAACAGCAACGAACAACAATATACCTGTCTTATACCTTATGTAACATGATATTTGTCAGCGTTGGATATTGGATATTATGGATATTTTTTCTTTTCCCATAGTAATAAGATGTGTTTCAAAGACCCAAAACACATACTTAAATGTACTATTCACACAAATATACCTAATTGTGTATAGGTATATTAGGTATACCTTGCTTTATAAGAAACATCTCTTAATTTTAAGGAAGTATCTAAATATATATTTGTATTTTATTGCTACCAAATTTGATACAATTGTTCAAAAACATTGGGTCAGCATTTTACTACAGACACAAGGCTAGGGATCAACCAGAATTAGAAAACCCAATGTGGACAATCAGAATGAGTGTGGGGGAGCTCTGGGGCAATGTTGGTTAAGGGCTCCAGAACACTCCTGGGAGAGGCTGCCCCTGCCTTAGTTGGTTTACCCTAGAAGACCCACAAGTTCAGGTTCTCCCTCTCCAAAATGAGTTTTAGGGAAGCTAAACAGACTGAGGAGTCACTGGATGGTGCAAATAGTTAACATTCAGCTGTTAACCAAAAGGTGGGACGTTTGAGTCCACCAGAGGCACCTTGGAAGACCTGGTGATCTACTTCTGAAAATCAGCTACAAAAACCCTGTGGAGCACAGTTCTACTCTGACACATGTGGGGTAGTCATGAGTTGGAATCTACTCTATGGCAACTGGTATACAGACTTAAAAATGCATAAAGTTGGAAGAGCTTCATGTTTAGACATTCTTTGCCACAGAGCATCCTGGGAATGGAGAAACTTCTCCTGGTTCATCACTGACATTCTATGACTCCATGAAATCAGAGCAGAAGACAAAAACCAGGAGAGAGAAACAAGCAAAACACAATTAACAGTGTTCCTGAGGCAAATAGGTCTGAGGAGAGAAAGGTAAGATGTTGGGAGAAAAACCTACTTAAGATTCAAACAGAGTCCAAAACATATAAGACTTTCTGAAACCAAAAAGCATGAGTTGTAAAACTAAAAAACTAAGTAGATACAGTGTAGTAAATTACCTGGTATGGCTTTTCTAGCCACAAGTCTTTGTAAATTCCATGGTGGAATTTGCTGTGATCAACTGAGGAGCTTCTGATTGGAAAAGTTATCCACCTGGGGTATTTCTGTTAAGAGTGGCACAAAGCAATGTTCTGGGAAATTTGCTTTCTCTCAGGTGCTTAGAATTCTGATGTCATGATTGGTTAGTTTGGCCACTTTGCCAGGCTCAAAGGGAGGCCTCCTAGAGGCAGAAGAAGTCTCTCTTACTGCTGGCTGAGAAGGATGTGCTGCTGAGAGAAACATGCTGCTGAGAGACACATGCTCCTAAGAGACACACGCTGCTGGGAAAGAGATGCAAGAGACATGCATCGCTGAGAGAGACACGGAGAGATATGCACTTCTGGGAGAGAGACTATGAGAGACTGTTAGCTGAGAGACAGTGGGCTGAGAGAGACTGAGCATTGTTCCTGAACTTGAATTGTAGCCTGGTGCTTCCCTATTAAAGCCCATAATCTGTGAGTTCTGTGTGGCCACTGCAGTGAATTATCAAACCCAGCAGAAAGGTGGCAGGTGCTGTGGGAGGAACTGTTGGTGTCAGGGTTGATGAAAGGGCTGGAGGGAGGCAGCATGTCTGGCCTCACAGAAATAGGCCTTGGCTATTGATGGTGATTCTGCCTTCCTCTTGTGCAGTTAAAAGAGGTCAGAAGATGTGGCCTCTCTGCCTCTTTAACAGTAGATGATCTGAAGGAGCAGACGGTCTTCATGGAGATCCAAATTAGAAGCAAAAGCAAAGCAGAAGTAATACCTCAAAACAGGAAAAAAATATGTTTTAAAATATTATGACAGAAATATAGATGCAAATATAGCACCATGGAAAACAGATCCAAGAGAGCTAACATACAAATAATAAGAGTTTCAGGAAAAGAAAATGAGACAGACAGATGAAGAAAAGGCTATATAATAACATAGTATATAAGAAAATATCCCTGAACTTGAAAAGAAAATCTTGATCCTGCTGATCAGAGTTCACAGAATTCCAAGCAAGGTAGGTTAACAACAACAACAAAAGGACACATTCTTAAGCCTATCATGATAAAATACTTGAAGGTCAAATATTATAATAAAATCTTAGTCTTTCCAGATGAAAATAGGAGCTATTTATAAAGAAAAAGGAATCAAACTGGCATCAGATGCCTCATCTACAATGTTGGCAGCTAGAGGAGGAGGTGGGAGGTGATCTAATAGACTTATGAAAAGATTTTCCACCAAATTAAGACATAATTTAAAGATTTCCTCCATCTGAGGAAAACACCTAAGAGAAAACTTTAAACAGTCAATGAATCAAAAAGACATCTCCAGATTTAGGATGAGATGAAAGAGGAGAGAAATTACCGGTAAGCAATACATCTTAAAACATAAAATGGCACTATGATGCTGAACAGTTTCCAACAGAGCTTTCAAACTAAGATGGACCAGGGAGAAAGGCCAAGCAATCTACTTCTGAAAATTAATCAATGAAAGCCCTATGGAGTTGAATAGTCTGTCTGATCCATAGTCAATTATGGGGATGCCATAGGCCCAGGCAGCATTTCATTCAGTTGTGCATGGAGTCACCATGAGTCGGGGCTGACTCCACCACAGATAACAGTAGCAACAAATATAAATGGAGAATGATTGGAAATATAAAACTAAAGTGCTAAGTATTCTTTAACTAAAGAGACAATGCAAAGGAAAATAAGCATGAGAAATGGAAACAAAAGTTTCTAAACTATCTCAGCAAAACTTAGAGTTAAATGAGGGGCAGATGAATTTAGAGGCAGAGAAGGAAAATAAAAGTATTCTACAAGTCCCAGATATTGATAGAAGGCGGCAGTTAGTGGCAGGGAGACCATCATGGTGGGCATATACCTTTTATCTTGCTTATGAGTCTTGCGAAAGAAAATATAGTTATTAATAGATTGCTAAAGTATATTTTTTGTTGTTGTTATGTGCCATCAAGTCAGACCTGACTCACAGCGACCCCTCCTTGGGTTTCTAAGGTGGTATCACTATGGAAGTAGATTGCCCAACCTTCCTTCCAAAGAGTAGCTGGTGGGTTTGAGCCGCCAGCCTTCTGGTTAGCAATCAAGTGTCTTAGGCGCTATGCTACCAGAGCTCCTAAAGTATAGTAGAATTCCAAAATTAACAATAACAGGATAAAGGGAACAAATGACAGAAATAAGGAAATAGGGAAGGGAGAAGTAAAGTATTAAATTAAATATATCAGTCATAACAAGTGTAAACAGATTGAATTCTAGTAAATACAGAGATTGTTACATGGGAAATGAAATCAATGATATAAATATTAGGAAAGCAGGGAAAGAATTATCTCATTTTGCTGATGTTGTTGCTCCTGAAAAATCAAAGAAAATCTAGTAAGACTCAACCAGAACTAACAAGAGCACTTGGTTACATGGCCTGATTTTGACTTCATGTAAAGAAAGACATAGGGTTGTCCTATTTTCAACTGGCAAGAGTCAGCTAGGAATGGAAATTAGAAAAAATAATAATAGTTATATTCATAGAAGCAACAAAATACTTTGGAAAGTCTAACAAGAGAGATAAGGAACTTCCATGAAGTGAGTCCTAAATTGTTGTGAGAAACATAAAAGAAGATCTGAACAAATGAACATATATACTATGTTTTAGGATGAAGAGATTTATTATCATTAAAAATAAAAATTATTTGAAATTAAAGTGGAAACTGAAGACAATTCCAACTAAAATCCCAATTTTATGTTTATGAAGAGGAGCTGGGAATTCTATTAAATGGTCTTAAAGTTCATGATCTAAAGAGAATAATTAATAGATTATTTTTGAAAGATAATCTCATTAGATATTAAAAATGACACTATTTTTTGGTAATAGTTGCCCAGTATGGTGAATATAAGAAATATTACTGAATCGTACACTGAAAAATTGTCAAAACAGCAAGCTTTTTGTTATGTACATTTTCCACAATGAAATGAAAGAAAAATTACTTTGAATTCATAATTAAAACAGTATGGTACTTACATAGAAACACAGAGATGAACTTCAGAGGCTTTTTTTTTTTATTAACGTGAGAAAGAATCACAGGTTAGCATTAAATTATACTCTATGTTATTAGCATTGGTGTATATGTATTTCCTTATGAAAAAATAAATAAAATTGATAAATGCACACACAGAAAAAATAGACAAAGGTAACTTGTAATTCTATTAAGTAGTCATTTGTACTGACCTTTAAATAATCACTAAAAATGTTATGTCTAACAAATACTATGCAGAAATCATTTAAACTACATATTTGGTAAACATTATGCTTCATGTAGTACAATTTGTGGCTATTAACTAAATGAAAAGACTCCACTTTCTCTATAGTCACCAAAGATAGCCTGAAGGGGATATGACTTTATGTATACTTACTACTTCCAAAATACCTGAGTTTCCGGATTCCATTTGGAATACAAGTAATGTCATTATAAGAAACATCAAGTTCCTCAAGATAGGACAAGGTAAATAACCTTAAATGGGAAGAAAAAGTGAGTAAAAATGATTAAATGTTTATCATTCACTGGGAATTAACAAAGAATTAAATATTTAAGTAAATATGTAGAAGTATAACTCTTAAAAAAAAAAGTATAACTCTCACTGCTGTGGAGTCGGATCCAACTCATAGCAACCACTCCTTGGATTTCCTAGGTGATATCTCTACAGAAGTAGATTGCCACATCTTCCTTATGAGGAGTGGCTGGTGGGTTTGACTGCCAGTCTTCTGGTTAGAAGTCAAATGCCTTCAGCACTATGCCACCAGAGCTCCCATGTAGAAGTATAGAGGAACAGTATTTTTCTAAGATCTTGAACTTTTTAGAGACTTTTTCATTATGGATGATGAAATTTCCTAGAAATTATTCATATATTCATCCTGATTTGAGATGTTTAGAGTGAATAATGTGTCATCTAGAAAAGGCATCTGAGAAATTATTTAAATTTAAGTGTATTTTTTTTTCTTTGTTGAAGTAAGACTTTTCTGATAAAGTATATTTGGCCCATCTTTATTTAATAATGTACAAGTAGGAACCAAAGAACACAAAGACTTGGCAACACAGAGAACTGTCTGGGGGTAGGGATAAGGGTAGAGGATAGTTTGAGGTCAGGGTTGCTTCCTGAACACTGGAACTGAACCACAGTGCTTCCAGCTAACCAGAAGGCTGGTGGTTTCCTTGGAAGGAAGTTTGGGAAATCTCTACTTCCAGAGTGCTACTGCCTCAGAAACCCAAGAAAGGGTCATTATGAGTTGGATCCAACTCAATGGCAGTGAGGTTTTGTTTTTTTTTTTTTGATTTGTATATAAACCAAAATCAAAAGTTTCCTTCAACTGGATTCTGACTCATTACCACAGTATAGAATAGAGTAGAAGTGCTCCATGAGGTTCCCAAGGTTGTAATTATTACAGAAACAGATGAACACATCTTTCTCCCCAGGAGCGGCTGCTGGTTTGAACCACTGATTTTTTGATTAGCGACAAGCACTTAACAACTGCATCACCAGGACTCCACCTCCTTAAAGATTACAGCCTAGGAGACTCTACAAGGCAGTTCTGTCATATCAGGTTGCTATGAGTCAGAATCAACTGCACAGCACCTAAAAACAACACTTATCTGCAAACACCACATGCAAATATCCCAAACTTTAATTAATGCTTTTTCATTTTACAGGTCTTGGCTTAGATTTTTCAGACTGGGTGAGCTGCCTCTTCTCTACTTCTCTGCTTACTCCATCATAGTACCCCCATTACACTGTGCAATAAATGACTGTCTGCTCTTGTAAATTATGGGCTCTTGGAGGTTAGGGATTCTATTTCATACTTCTACATACCCAATGCCTCACACAGTGCTTGGTACATTGTAAGTTCTTAGTAAGTCATGAATGAAAGAAAGAAATGGTGAGTACAGGTAATTTAAAATCATTGATTCTAAAATAGGATTGAATAGAAAAGCAAAAGAAATGCCTTATCCAGTCAGTGTTCATCTCAGACTTCTTATAATCTATGTAAAGAAGACATTAACGAGTTCCGTAAGATGGTGGAATAGGCAGAAAGACTGCACAGACCCTCTAGACCCTCTTCAACAAAGAAAAGGGGAACCAATTAACACAGACACAGAAGATAATCCTGAACCCCTGAGCCTTGAAGGGAAGGATATAGAAGTGGACTAAACCCCAACTAGCAGAAGAATTTGCATGAAAATACCAAAAAAGGAGACATACGGAGCTGCGGTCTGGTGGCAATCCTGAGTGATCCTGATGGCACAGACAGCTTAAAGATTGCCAAGTGTGGTAGGACCTAAGATTTAACCTAAAAATCAGCCCTGCTAGCCAGGGACTGCATGGAGCACTACTCTGGTGGCTGGGGAAGCAGTGAAAAGGAAGGTGGGCTGAGCTGTGGACTTTTGTCTGTCCAGAGGGTGCAGCCATTTTGAATGTTTACAAGCAGCTTGACCATTTTGGATATTTAAAGTGACAGCATTCTCTGAGATTTCAGGGACATAGGAACAGACTCCACTTGCTGGCAACCCCAAGGACATTCTGGATCTGGATGACTGGAAAGGTACAGCATTCCCTTGTTACTTTTATACTCCACACTCTATTGGTGAGTGGAGGTGCAGCCATCCCTCACTCCCACCCATTTTCTGGGCCTACAGGAATTCCATCCCAGTCTGTATGCTACAGTGGAGCCTGGGTGCCCTTCCCCGCCCTGCCCCAATTTTTTTTTCTTTTTTCTATTTTTAGTTTGTTTTTGTCTGTTTTAAAACTATTACTATTATTATTAATTTGTTCTTTTTACTGTTATACTTTATTCTTCCCCTCAAAGGTTCTAGTTGTCAGCTTTTTTTATTTTCCCTGTTACTGGTTGAAATATTTGTTTTCCTTTTTGTAGTTAACCCTGTTCCTTGTTGGGGTTTTTTTGTTGTTGTTGTTATTCCCACTTTTTTCTTCATTATTCCCCTTCTCTAATTTTTTCTCTTATTCCCCTCTCCACAGATATTGCAGGGTTTGTTTTTTGTGTTTCTTTTTTTCCATTTTTTGTTTTTTTGGTTGCTGTTCCTGGTGATTACACAGTGTATTTTTTGTCCATTTGATTTTAGTTTTATGGTGGTTACTCAGTTTCTATTTTTTTCTAAGTGAGTGGAAGATGGCCACAGTCTCCAATGACACAACTACACCAACACCTACTGCAGCTTCACTTACTGAGTGAGAGCCACCAATTCATTCTCCACCAATGGGCCAATGATAAACAACCACCAAGAAGAGCCTGACTCACCCTTGCCTGCTCTTCAAAAACAGTTAACAGAGATCTAAATACAATACAATCTAAATGCCATGATTTATTGGAGAAAACAGATGATCACAGTCCAGACAAAGAAGTAAGATAAAGTGGGAAAAAAAAGGGGGGGGGGAAGCAGGATACAGACCCTTAGCACATCCCTGAGGAGGAAGCAGCATTGGAACTTTCTGAGAAGGAATTCAAAAGATTTCTATTTAGGTATCTTCAAAAGACTGAGACGCAGACCAAGGAAAACACAGACAAAACCCTAGAAAAATTTTGGAAGAAAATACAAGAACCAAATGACAAACTAAATGAAAAATTAGAAATGATTCTAAATCTACAGATATAAATCCAGAAGATTAATACTAAATTGTCAGAAATAGATAACACATTGAAAGGGCAAAGAAATAGAATTGATTCAATGGAAGATAGAATTGAGATTGAAGACAAATACCTGAATACTTCTTTGGAAAGGGATCAGTCAAAAAAAAAAGATCAAAACAAAAGGAAGAAAGCCTAGGGATCATGTGGGCTACCATCAAAAGGAATAACCTACACGGCATTGGAATTCCAGAACAGGAAGAGAAAAAAGAAACCACCAAGAAAATGGTCCAAGATTTGTTGGAGGAGAATTTCCTGATTGATGAAAGATGAGAATATATCCATTCAAGAAGCCAAATGAACCCCAAACAGGATAGACCTCAAAAGAAAATCACCAAGATTTATCATCAGCAAACTCATCAAAACCAAAGAGAAAGAAAGAATCCTGAAAATAGCATGGAAAAAAAAAAAAGTTACTTACAAACCACAACGAGGAAGAATAAGGTCAGATTTCTCAGCAGAAACCATGCAAGTGAGAAAGCAATGGGATGGTATATATAAAACCCTGAAAGAGAAAAATTTTCGACCAAGAATTATATACCCAGCAAAATTATCCCTTAAATATGATGGTGAAATTAGGAGACTTTCAGATAAGCAGAAACTAAGGGAATTTGTTAAAACCAGACCAAACTTACAAGAGATACTAATGAGAGTCCTTTGAACAGAGAACCAAAAATACCAAACAACAACCGACCATTAATACACAAGATGACATAACCTAGAAACCACAGCTATGGATATATCCAAAGTAAAATAAGCTTACAAGATTGTAAACAGGGAACCAGAGACATCAATTGGCATGAGGACAACTACAAACCAAAAAGAGGGATAATACTGTGTAGTTACAGAACTTCTAAATGGTGAGGAAGTCAAGAGAGTTGCAAGATAAAATGGACTGTTCTAATCTTGGGGAGAAAAATATAAATCATAGGGTAACCTCGAAGAAAAATGATAAACGTTCACATCACAATAAAAAAGAGGACAAGCACAAATATTCAGCAAATATGAAAACAACAGCAACAAAGGAAATGATAACATGATTCGTAAACATAATGAGTTCAGCACAGAAAATAATACGGAACAAAGAAACCAGGGACACAATGAAAAAAACACATAAAAAGCTGACAACAACCAATTCATACTTAGGAATAATTACACTGGATGTTAATGGATTTATTGCACCATTCAAGAGACGAAGTGTTTGAGACTGGATAAGAAAACAAAATCCAACAATAACCTATATACAAGAGACACGCCTTAGAGACAAAGACAAAAATAGACTAAAAATCAAAGGTTGGAAAAAGATATACCAAGCAAATGGCAACCATAAAAGAGCAAGAGTGCCAATATAAATTTCTAATCAAATTGATTTTGAAACAAAGTAACCATATGAGAAAAGGAAGGAGATTATATAATGAATAAAGGATCTATAGAACATGAAAATATAACCATACTAATATCTATGGACCCAATGAAAGAGCCCCAAAATACATAAATCAGACTTTAAAAGAGTTGAAAAGGCAAATAGATGAATCCACAGTCATACTGGGAGACATTAATAGACCAATTTCAATGAAAGATACAACAACTGCAAAGAAACTCAACAAAGATGCAGAAGAGCTAAGCAATACAATCCGCCAACTTGACCTTATACATATCTACAGAGCACTTCACCCAACAATAACACAATATACATTCTTTTCCAGTGCACATGGAACATTTTCCATGATAGACCATATGTTAGGCCATAATGAAAGCCATAATGAATTTAAAAAGATTGAAATACTGCAAAACGTCTTCTCAGATCATAATGCT